CAATCAGTGATAGGTGTGTGTGTGTGTGTGTGTGTGTGTGCAGAACCGCACTCCTTGGCACTGTCAGAAGTGGTGACACTAAAATGACCAGAAGGTCCCCAGTAGATGCCAAAGGAAGGCTGATGCTGTAGTTGGAGTGCCGTCAAGGAAGTGCTGTCACTAGAATCGGTATCAACCATCACCCAGTGAGGTAACTCCTTACCACCAACCCATGCCCACTCACTCGCCAGTCAGGATCCAGGCAGTGGGGCTGCAGCTCCCACCAATGGCTGGAAAGGATTGTCTCAGTCTTGGCCAATGGGGGAGGGGAGCTGCAGGGAGCCCCAGGTGGAGGGGGTGGCAAAGTTGGGTGGGCCAAGCTGCACAGCGTGGTGCTGGGTCCTTTGTGGGGCAGAGGCAGGGCTAGCCACTCCACCCACAGGGGAGTAAAGGTTTCCAGCTGCTCCACCCATAGGTTGGGGGGTGGCACAAGTTACCTAAATGGGTGACCCCAACCCTAGTGGCAGCACTGTAGTCAATGTTCTATTCATTCCCTTCAACCTCCTCTGACCCTATTTTTCCCATCTTATTGCCCTTTCTCTCAGCATCCTCTCCCCTATGAATTAGCATCAGGATCTACTGTCTCAAAAACAGCCCTTATCACACTTCATTTTAAGTTTCCTGACCCCTCCACCTGGCCCTTGTCTTACATCTATGCCCTTCACAAAGAAATTTCTTGACTATCCACTTGCTTTGTAGGTCATTGCTCTGTATTACTCACCTTGCTCTTTCCTAAATCTTTCCCCCTATAATATGTGAACTAAATAACTATTTCAATAACATCTACATGTGTCCAGGGCAAACCTAGGGTCCTAGGGAATCCATGAGATAAAAATATTTGAACCACCATGTTGTTGTTGTTGTTAGGTTCTGTCAAGTCATCTCCAACTCATAAAGACTCTATATACAACAGAGTGAAGCACTGCCAGGTTCTAGACCATCCTCACAATCCTTGCTATGCTTGATCCCATCATTGCAGCCACTGTGTCAATCCATCTCATTAAGGGTCTTCTCCTTCTTCATTGACCCTCTACTTTACCAAATATGATAGGTGAGACAAAGTCTGCCATTCTCAGTTCCCAGGAGGATTCCAGCTATACTTCTTCCAGTACAGAATTGTTCCTTCTTCTGGCTGTCAATGGTACTTTCAGTTTCTTCACCTGCACCATACTTCAAAGCCATCAACTCTTCTTTGGTCTTCCTTATTCACTGTCCAACTTTCACATGCACATGAGGCAATTGAAAATACAAAGGCTTGGGTCTGGTACACCTTAGTCTTCTTCAAAGTGACATCTTTGCTTCTTAACACTTAAAAGAGGTCTTTTACAGTAGATTTTCCAATTGCAGCACAATGTCTGATTCTCTGAGTGCAGATTCCATGGGTGTTGACTGTGGATTCAAGTAAAATGAAATCTTTGACAACTTCAATCTGTTCTTTGTTTATCATGATGCTACTTATTCGTCCAGTTGTGAGGGTTTTCAATTTCTTTAGGTTGAGGTGTAATCTATACAGAAAATGTACTCTTTGATCTTCATCACTAAGTGCTTTGAGGCATCTTCCCTTTCAGCAAACAAGGTTGTGTCATCTGCATATAGCAGGTTGTTAATGGTTCTTCCTCCAATCTTAGTACCATGCTCTTCTTCATATAGTCCAGTTTCTTGGATTATTTGCTCAGCATATAGAATGAATAAGTATGGTAAAAGGACAAAACCTCGATGTACACCCTTCCTGATTTAAAACCACGCAGTATTCCTTTGTTCCATAGTCTCTTGGTCTATGTACAGGTGCCTCATGAGAACAATTCTTTGCAATGTCATCCATAATTTGTTATGATCCACAAAGGCAAATGCCTTTGCATAGTTAATAAAACATAGGTAGACATCCTTCTAGTATTCTTTGCTTTTAGCTAAGATCCATCTGACATTAGCAGTGATAGCCCTTGTTCCACATCCTTTTTTGAATCTAGCTTGCATTTTCTGGAAATTCCCTGTCAATATACCACCACAACTATTTTTGAATTATCTTCAGCAAGATTTTACTTGCATGTGATATTAATGATATTGTTTGATAATTTCCACATTGTTTTGTCATCTTTCTTTGGAATGGGCACAAATATTGATCTCCTCCAGCCAGTTGTTCAGGTAGCTGTCTTCCAAATTTCTTGGCATAATCGAGTAAACACCTCTAGTGCTGCATCCATTTGTTGAAACATCTCAATGGCTATTCTATCACCACTTGTCTGTCAGTTTGTCATACTGCTGTGGCTCGAGTGTTGCTCTGAGGCTGAAGGCTATGCCATTGGTATTTCAAATACCAGCAGGGTCACCTATAGTAGACAGATTTCAGCAGAGCTGCCAGACAAAGATAGACTGGGAAGAAGGATGGGGCCACCCATTTCTGAAAAAACTGGCCACTGAAGACCTTATCAATAGCAGTGAAACACTGTCTGATATATTACTGGAAAACTTTACCAAAGCTGTGAACCACCATGGAGTTTTAAAATCTAATTAGCAATCACACTATATAATTCCATTTATATGAAATATCCAGAAAGGGTAAATCCATATAGACAGAACACAGATGGTAGTTGCCAAGGAATCAGAACACAGATTGGTGAATATAGGGAAAGGTGAGGATAGACAGCAATTGCTTAATGGGTATAGAGTTTCCTTTTGGGTGATGAAAATGTTTTGTAACTAGAGGTCTTGGTTACACAACATTTTGCCACTAAACTGCTCACTTGTAAATGGTTAATTTTATGTTATGTCAATTTCACATCAATAATTTTTTTAAAAAGCTAATAATAAAGTTAAGTTAAATATACAAAGAGATACGTAATTAGGCTGCATAGGATTGTTGCTTGTAGAATGAATGAAAACATAAATGTATATTCAGTGTCAAATGAGTGGTATAAAAAGGAACACCTGAATTGTTCATAAGATAGACTCTTGTGGGCTGTTGTTGTTGAAGTTTTCATAGAGGAAGTAACTCTTGAGTACAGGCTTGGAAAAAGTAGAACATACACATGGGGCTGAGGGGATAAGGGAGATGGATTTTTCTGTCTCAGTGAATATAAGCAATAGGGATCATCCTACACTTCTCCACTCCACCCACATCCTGTTACTACCTACTCCCATCAAAAACACACCCCTATATTGCGCTCCTATATTCTGACTTTCTATCCCACATCACTCCTTTAGTCCATGCCTCTGTCATATCTTATATGAATATTGCAATAGCATCAAAACTGGTCTCCCTAGCTCCAGTCTTACCATCCCCCCCCCCAATTTATACTCATGAATGTTAATATCTCAGGACCTGTAGTTGTTGTGGTTAAGCATCATCAAGTCGATCTATGTCATTAAGGTTGACTCTACTTTGTCATTGTGCTGACCCTGTCAACAGAACTAATCAGAAGTTCACCAACCACACACCAATTCACCAGCACAAAAGACCCAAGGACAGACCAGATGAAATGTAACAAAGGTAAGACTAGCTGGGATCCTGAGGGCAGAGAGTGGAACTAAATTCTTCTCTCTCATCATCTTACGGTCATATGAGGGCCACAGTACACCCATCCTATCTGGAGAAGGAGCAAGGCACGAGGGAAGATATGAAAAACTCAAATACCATGAGTTACCCAGAGAAACTATGTAAACCAGAAGATTCTGTGTCAGATAATGACTTCTAGCTGAGAAGCAGAGGTAGGTGGGGGGTGGGAAAGTCTGGAAAAAGGAACATGATTCCCTTAATTTGTGTGGCATGAATGGAACACAGAAGGGATCAGTACTCAGTCCAAATGAAGTTAGCACCACTGAAGTTTTAAGCTCTTGTCCGAAAAATATATAATCTAGATCAAGAGATCAAGGTGGGGCTTGAGGAGTGGGGGACAGTGATAGGGAGAAAAATAGGAAGCTGCAGCAGAAGTCGAGTCTATTGCTCAGGGTTGTAAATCCAGCATCTAGTATATGTCCGTCTCAGGATAAATAAATGAATGAATTGTGGACAATGCCTATAAAGAAGGCTGGGAAGTGAGAAGTCAGGCTTATGGATTCTAGTTCACTACATTATGGGTAATAAATACTAAAAATGCATCACTTTCTAACTATTTTACTATTATCTATGTTCTTGGGGTTATTTACATTTATTATATCCAAGCCTGGCTTCAGGAACACACAGCCTGTGCATTCACACAGGTGGAGTGCTCAGAAAGGCCCCTGCTTGGTTTAACGCTCTGCTGAGTAGACTCAGTGGTCATCATCTTGAAACTCTTATTAACAGTTTTTAAACAAAGGGCCCACTTTTTCATTTTTCACTGGGCTCAGTGAATTATGCAGCCCGTCCTGACTGTATCATGGAAATACTATATATGTGCTACTTTGCTCTTCCCTATTCAATGTTTAGAGCCTTTATGATGGCAGTTTATCTTAGGCCATGGTGGACATTGACAAACCCTAGAAATCGGGGTTGAAAACCGGTTGTTAAACAACTTACCAGCATGTCACTGGACAGGCCACACTATGTAAGTATAAAGATCACACACTTACCATCAACCTCCAGACCCCTGCGATTTTGGATAGAATTCCAGTGTTATATAGCAATTTGCTATTTATTTTTAACACAAAAAGAAAAATAATTACATCAGCCTTGACATTATTTCAAAATCTAGATTCAGATCCTTCCTGTTTAAAAACTGTTACCTTTGAAATACGACACTCTAGGAGGGTATTATCCCTGCCAAATGAAAGCTTTCTGCATTTGATAACGAGTTAGAATGAGTGCCTGCCTCCTCTGCTCAGGCCTCAGCTGCCCCTCCCATTGCTCTCCCTCCTCCCGCTGGAAGCAGGGAGCTTTGTAGGGCTCAGAGACGGGGTGGGCTGGTAGATCCGCCCCAATAGTTCAGCTGGAGGAAGCTCACCCTCTCCCGGGAGCCTACAGGCGTTCTGCCCTGCACAGAGCGATGGAGTCCTCCTGGCTTGAGACGCGCTGGGCGCGGCCTTTCTACCTGGCGTTCGTGTTCTGCCTGTCCCTGGTGCTGCTGCAGGCCATCAAGCTCTACCTGCGGAGGCAGCGGCTGCTGCGAGACCTGCGCTTCTTTCCCGCGCCCCCTACCCACTGGCTCTATGGGCACCAGAAGGTAAATGGAAGGGAGGGCTATAGAAGGATGCTGCAGAGAAAACCGGTGAGGCAGAGAGAGAGGCGACGGTTTCCTTCTCTTTCTCCTGACCACAGCCCTGTAGGCCCAGCCAGTGGCTCCTGGCATATTGGTCTTTAGTCCCTGGAGAATTTCTCCTTCACAGCCCCACAGGGAAAGGGAAACGCCCTGATGTGACCACTAGAGAGGAAGCTTTGGTGGCTGAGAGGGGACAATTTAAAGGGCCAGAAATTGAAATAGGAAAAGAGGTGTAACACAGGTCTGTCTCTGAACACTTCACTAATCTCTGGCATTTACAATGCTGCGTTTTAAAAAGATTTTCACATATGTTGTTTTTAAAATAGTATGTTACTCTAAATTCACTGCCGTCGAGTTGGATCCGACTCATAGGAACCCCTCCTTGGGTTTTTGAGACGGTATCACTACGGAAGTAGATTGCCCAACCTGCCTTCCCAGGAGTGGCTGGTGGGTTTGAACTACCAACCTTCTGGTTAGCAATCAAATGCCTTAGGCACTATGCTACCAGAGCTCCTGTTAATGTAAATAGTATATATTAATTGTAGACACTACTAAAAAACCAGCCATGATTGTTGCCACCCTAAATCCATTCCAACCAGTGAAAATTAACTTTCTTCTAAGACTCTTGTGAGATAGGGAGCAGCCCCAGCCAACCACTCAAGAAACACTTTTGATTTATTGATTATTAAAATCTGTAAAGTAAAGGAAGTCTCTCACCCCTTCCTTTTTTCTTTTGTCCTCTCCTGTTCTCTAAATCCACCCCCATCCTCTTCATTTTTTCATTCATTCTACCGACTTTGAGTGGCAGTCATGTGATAGGTAGGTACTAGGATTCAAAGAGAGGTGATTGCAGCCGCAAAGAAAAAAAAATGAAAATACAGTGTAATGAGTGCTTAAATAGAGGCTTGGGGACAAGGCTTGGAGGAAGGTGCAACTCTGCTTATGTAGAAAGTCCTGAAGGGCTGAGCAGAATCTCTTTTTTTTTTTCCTAAATTTTATTGTGTTTTGGGTGCAAATTTACAGAGCAAAATTGGTTTCACATTCAACAGTTCATATACATTTGATTTCCCCACCCGTAACAAACCCTCCTCCCCTCCTGTCCCTGTGACTACCCCCTCCCTGTGCCCTTCGTAACTATGCACTCTGTCCAGCTTTCCCTTTATGTGAATGCTGCCCCTCTGGTGCCACATGGCTGATTGCTCTAAGGGGTGTATCTCCCTAGAGTAGGTGTGTTCATCGCTTGGGATAGGTGTTCTACAAGTAAGTCTTTCTACTGTTGAGCTGAGAGCCAATCCATGGGAGTGAATCTAATTATGGGCCCAAAGGGTAACCCCGGGCCACAATCTTGGGGGTTCCACCAGACTCTATCCGACCAGTGATTCTGGTCATTTTTGTGCTTTTGGATTTTGTTGCACATTTTTTCTCCCACCGTATCTTGGATCTCCAGGTTTGATTCATTTCAGAGAGGTTGGCATTGGTAGCCAAGCACCATTTAGTTCTTCTGGTCTCGGGGTCCCTGATATCCTCGGACTAATTGTTTCCAGATGCCTTTGATTTTCTTCACTCTTCTTTGCTTCAGATGAGAGACCAATAGTTGCATTTTAGATGGCCACTCAAAAGCTTTTAAGACTCTAGTTGCTACTCACCACAGTAGGTTGTAGAACAAGATTTTTATGTACTGTGTTGTACCAATTGAGCCTGGTGTCCCCTGAGACTATGTCCCAAGTCAGCAGGTCTGGTGATTCTCTCTCTCAAGGTGTATGATTGTCTCTGAGAGGTTACTCCAACTTGTCTTCTGTTGCTTTTGTAATGTGTGTGGCTAGTTTTGTAGCACAAGTGCATCTGTAAGATTATTGTCAGCTAAATTTATCCTTAGTCTAGGGTATACTCCTGTTCGCCAACCCCCACCTGATCCTCTCACTTGTCTATGCATTTATCTGTAGCCTGGTGTTTGGTGTTAGTGTGATACAGTCTTGTGCCTATACTGGTATTAGCCTCTGTTGTTTATATCTTATGTGCACGTTCCAGTGTCCCTCCTTTTCCCTCCCATCCCCAGTAACCTACAAAGTGAGTTTCCTTCCCCAAGTAAACCTTTCCTTGACTTTTTACAATAATAAATCTCAAAACTCATTGTTGTCGAGTTGGATCCAACTCATAGAGACCCCTCCATGGGCTTCCAGGGTGGTATCACTATGGAAGTAGATTGCCCAATCTTCCTTCTGAGGAGTGCCTGATGGATTTGAACCGCAAGCTTTCTGGTTAGTAGTCAAATGCCTTAGGCACTATGCCACCAGAGCTCATTTTTACAATAATGGGCTCATACCATATTTGTCCTTCTGCCATTGACTTATTATTTCACTCAGCATAATATTCTCCAAATTTATCCACTTTGGGAGATGATTCGTATATTCTTCATTGTTCTTTAATGTAGCATAGTATATTCCATTGTGTGAAGGTACCATAATTTGGTTATCCATTCATCTGTTGTGGGCATTTAGGTTGTTTCCACTCTTTGCTATAGTGAATTGTGCTGCGATGAACATGAGTGTGCATGTGTCTGTTTGTGTCCCGTCTCTCACCTCTTTAGTGAAGTGACTGTTCGTGTCCCTTGCCCATTTTTGAATTAGATTGTTTGTCTTTCTGGTGTTGAGTTGTTGAAGTTTTCAATAAATTTTGGAGATAAATCCTTTGTCAGATATGTCATAGCCAAATATTTTTTCCCAGTCTGTAGGTTCTCTTTTTACCCTTTTGGGTAAAAGGAATTTAATTTTTAAAAGGTCCCAGTCATCTAGGTTCTCCTCCACTGCCTGTGCATTTTGGGGTATCCTTGATAGTCTATTTATGCCATAAATTAGGGCCCCTAGATTTGCCCCTATTTTATCTTTGATGAACTTTATAGTTTTGGGTTTACATTTAAGTCTTTGATCCAATTTGAGTTTCTTTTTATGTATGGGGTGAGGTAATGGTCTTGTTTCATTTTTCTGCAAGTGGATATCCAGTTTTGCCAGCACCATTTGTTAAAGAGGCTATCTCCCCCCATTTAATGGGCTTTTGTCCTTTGTCAAAAATCAGCTATCTTTAGATAGATGGGTCTCTTTTCTCTTTCTGGGTTTTCAATTCTGTTCCATTGGTCTATCTGTCTATCACTGTACCGCTACCATATTGTTTTAACTGCTGTTGCTGAAAGTAGGTTTTGAGATTTGGAAGTGTGAGACCTACTTCTTCTTCTTCAGCAATGCTTTAATCTAAGGAAAGAGGTCTCTTTCCTTTCCCTATGAAATTAATCATTGGTTTTTCCATATCCTTAAAAAATGTTGATGGTATCTGGATCAGGATTACATTGAATGTGTAGATTGCTTTGTGTATTATTGACATTTTCACAATATTCAGTCTTCCTACCCACCAGCCACTCCTCGGAAGGAAGGTTGGGCAATCCTACTTCTGTAGTGATACTGCCTTGGAAACCCAAGGAGGGGGTTGCTATGAGTCGGGGCCGACTCGACAGCACATAACAACAACAACAACAATCTATGAACAAGGGAAGTTCTTCCATTTACGTAGATCCCTTGTAGTTTCTTGTAGTAGTGTTTTGCAGTTTTCTTTGTATAGATCTTTTGTGTCTCTGGTAAGATTTATTCCTAAATATTTGATCCTTTAGGTGACTATTGCAAATGGTATTTTTTT